TTCTCAAAAAAGTGGTATTCCTTAAAGAATATAAAAGCCAAGGGAGGAGAAAGTGTATGGTGAAATTAAATGCAGAGTTGCCAGATCGTTTGTAGATTATCCGATCAAAAAGAAACTACGAAATTTTGACAGTAAATTTTACTACTGACAGTGACATTAATACCAAAATACTAATATTTTGTGATTTATATAAAAACTGTTCATTTATTTTAATTTTGTTTTCACTCACATTTATAAAAAAAGTATATTACTATCTATTCATTTATTTAAAAGTTTGTTTACAATTTAACATGATATTGATAGCACAAGGATTATAAAAATAGTAACATTTATAGTATGTTTGTTTTTATATAAAATGTATTAAATTATTTATAAGAACAATAAAAGAAATGGTTATGGGTTCTTCTGTCGACTTAATCTCTAATGTACCATTTATGTTCAAAACAGTAACACAAAGAGTCTATGATTATTATGTTACAAAACTGTACAATTATATTTCAGAGAATTTGAAACCCTTGAGATTTATAACCATATTTAAAAGTAGCTAAAAACTAAAGTCAGGGAATAGATTTGTTAACAAAGTTTAACTAAACTAAAAATAGAATGTGTTCCAACACATAGAATATGAATTAAAGATAAAAATTATTTAAACCATTTTTTATATATTGTCAATGAAAATCCTGAAAAATTAACTTTTTTTGAAATTTCTCCATTACGTTCTATTTTAGAGAAATCATGTATAGGACAAAAATGATAGAGAATGACATCACAAACAACTTTTCTGGAAGAATTTTCTTCTATAATCATAAATAAAGTACCCCACAGATGCTCCAATTCTGTCCAAAATCAAATTCACTCACTGCAAAATGGATTTAAGCTTAAGATTAATGTGGTAAAAAAGAAAAATAATTCAAAGTAATGAGTTGGAACTATTTTCCTTTTTTAAAATTGCTTTTGATTCCACCTAGTTTTAAAACTGGGCACTACTAGCCACCTTTGATTTTGCTTACTAGGAGCGTTACCATTTTCACTAAATACCTGACTACAACTTTGAAATCAACATAATTGTATACTAATGAATTTGGTGCCTTTGCTAATTCCATTAGAGACTGCAATTGAGAAGCTGTTTCTTGCTGATGAGCCCTAATAAAAATGAAATCGGTCCAATAATGACTTTCTTCTTAATAAGCAAAATCAAGGGTAGAGTGTTGAAATTAAATGTTTACCTCTGCTGTCTTTGCTTTGGATATAATTCAATACCTACGACTCAATTATCAACTTTGTTCCCATGGGAAAAAGATAATTTTCCTATGGGAATTTATATTTTGTATTCTCGACACATCCACTATGAATATTTTCTCATGAAAAGTATGGGAGCCAATACACTTGGTATTTGGCATGGGAAATCAAATTTCCAATGGGAATATTGGTAATGGATTATACTAGATCAAAATTAATATGTCACCAGTCACGTATGCTATTACTTTAAATAATAATATTATTATTTCAAATATACCTTGATTTTTTTTATGGTAGAATCTATTTTACTTCTCCTATTTAACCATATAGAAGAGGCAGAAAGTAAAACAAATAATGCCCCAAGATATTTTTAGACTAAGTGAAAAAATGAAGCAGAAGCTCCATTTGAATCTTTAAATGAGACCTAAATTATAAAATTATTTAGACTATCAAAAGAGGCGGCCTCTGATCTACTTGCAGATATGGAAACAATAATAGATCCCCAATTTTTTTTTAGTCTCTGACATATTTTTTTTCTTTGTATCCATCGTTGTATTGTTCACAATTTTTTTTTAATGCAAGGAAAAAACAAGAATCAAAAATTGACATTATTTATTATCATTGACATAAGAAAAATCGATGTTCCCAACACAACAACTTGAAAGTATTGAAATATCTTGATTATTATTGGTCAGTGTCATACTCGGTTTCATATTTAAAACCAGACAATTGGATAAACGAATAATCAAAATTTCGATAGGAATTACATTCCTAACCTAGTTGAGAATACCGTTTTAAAATACCACTGGAATTCTTACCCATGGGAAAATTTTTCCGTGAAGTCAAGAATCGAGGCACTGGAGTAGTTATTTTACAAAGGGAAAGGTAGCTCGTATTTTTGGGAATTATGGCTTTGTTATAGTTATTTTATTTTAAAATTTGGTGTTTTCCCCTATCGATTTGGTTATCAATGATACAGAAGAACAGACAGACATCATCGCAAAAATTGTCAAAACAGATTTAGGGGACCCCAAAACTTAAAAATCCTAAAATTAAACATTTTATTTTTATTGTTACATCCCCTTTATAAAAGGGAAGTATTGTAATCGTGAAAAGTCATCTTCCGAATTTATTTCAGATTTTCACGTTTCAGGGTCCCTAGATTACAAAAAACATGTTTCCCCATTTCTTGGGTCTGTCTGTCTGTTGGCGCGATAACTCAAAAGGATTTAAAGAAAAATTTAAAATTTTGTATGCAGATAAGGTTCCTTTCTGGCACAAACCCTGTTATACTTCCAATCAGTTATATAAAGCGTGAGCAGTTTTTGACTAAAATTGGTATCTAAGAATTTTAGAAGTCAAAGATTACAGATTCTAAATAGGTTTTTAAAAATTTAAAATGGCTCTGAAAGTAATCGTATTTAATCAAAAAAGGTCCCACTTGAATGGAAATAATAAAAATCGTCCTTTTGGTTTGTGTAAATGGACCATTTTAAAAGCAGCCAATCATCATTGTTCAATAACAGTGATTGTGATGAAGAATACCGAGTGGATGCAAAGTGAGAATTCAGGTGGGATCTAGAGGAAGATCGATGGAAAGAGAAATGTGAAAAAGGGTTTTTGGTTTGGTGGTTTTAATTTTAAATTATTAAAATTTAAGTGTTTAGGAGTTCCCTGCTTTCACAATTTCTATATTGAGGGAAGTTCTGGGTAAAATACTTTACACCGATATTTTTAATTATCATTTTGTTTTTAATTGATTTTTCTTGACCTGTTTCATAAGGATTTTAACCAAATTAAATTTTAGATAATCCCAAGGATAATCCTAACTTTGTTGAAGCCAGAGATGTTAATATAAAATCTTACCATATAATTATTTAGAGTGATTTTTCATAGGCATATAGTTTTTTTTTATTATTTTTACTTTCCGGTATCCAGTAAGGAAAGTATAGGAATCACTTTTTTCGATCTCGAGCTCTCAATGGATTTTTAAGTTTTGGGGTTCCCATAGTCGGCGCATCTGGGGGTACATTATATATTAAGGTATATTTCTGTTATTTATGATTACAGAAGAAAATTCTTCAACAAGAGTGGTTCATGATGTTTTTTTTTTATTATATTTGTTCTAAACATGAATTATCTATAATTGACCACAATGGAGAATTTGAGGAAAAGTGCAAAATTTTAATTTTATAGTATTTTCAAAGGCAATGAAGAATAATTTTAAGAATAATTTTTATTTTTAATTCATATTAGACATTCCAAACAAAATGGCTGTCAGTTAGAAGAGTTGGTATATCTAAGGGGTTGTGACATACGACATGTATGCATAATGGATTACTGAATCTAAATATTTTATGTCGAACACAATCAAAACATTATTTAAAAAAAATCAGTTATTTATTTATTTAATTAAAACATCAATGGCCAATAGCCACTTACAGGATAAGTGGTGATACAGAAACTTAAAAACTAAAAAATAAAATACAAGAAAATACTTTTATTATTATACATTTTTCATAAATTGGCAGGCTGTTTTGAATAAAAATAGTGTCCAAGATGGAAGGCTATATCCCAACCCTCTTAGATATATGAGCCCATCCCACCAGCAGATATTGTTTGACAGGTCATTGGAATGCCTCAGGAATACCCCAGGAATGCCTAATTGAAAAGTCATGTGATGGACACATCATACTTATTTTTTATAATGGCCATCTGCAATACTTATGTACTTGTAAATGGAAAAAGCTCCAATAGATAAATTAGCAATCCATGTGTATCTCTGGGATCTGTACTTAGCCCTTTGTTTTATAATCACATACATCATCTATCATAAAATATGACTTTTCCAACAAAAACGATCAGAAACTTATGGAATTTAGGTTTTTGTTTACAATAATGATAGCCTACATATACTTAGTTTTTTCATAATTCAAACTAGATATTTATCGAAACTTTTTGTTATCAATCAATTTTGCATAATTCTTCTCTGAATTTTTTTCCAATGTCAATATTTAACAAACTATTACAGGTATATTAGTTGATTTTTAATTTTTCATAATAAACAGTAGTTAGCCATAGTTAGATAATAAAACTTGTAGAATATACTACAATTTTCAAACAATATTTTACTGTTTAACTTTATATCACATAAAATCTATAAAATTTGGAGTAAAATACATAAGAATCACAGAACCATTAAGAATCCTTAATTTTTAAAGGAATTTTTAACTGTTAAATCAAATCTTGTTTAAAAGATAAATATAAATTTATTACTAGGTATACCAGACAGCTGAAAATACAGATGATTGGACTATTTCAAGATGTATGTACCTAAATGTTTTTCATTGTAAAACACTGTCGTCCTCCTTGAATATAGAATACAGAATAGCATAATGAAATGCTTCTATAAACAGATCAATGTCAAGGCCAGGCTACTTTAGAAACAGGATAAGATAAATAGACACATATAGTAATGATGTGACCATAAATAAAAAATAAATTCACGTGTACTTTAATAGTTGGAAGTTGGAATAGAATAAAAAGTAGGCAAGGCTATAGGCAAACGGCGAAATTGCCAATTACATCACAAACTAATTCAAAAGTTATTGCTAAATAATTAAAGCCGTCCAAATCTATTGCCAGAATGTAAACGAGCTGCGGTTCAAATGAACAGCGTAATCTCGTAATCTCGATAGCAACAGATTTTTTTAATAAGTAAATAAGTTTATTGGTACTCCAGTTTAAAATAAATAACTCACCTGGGTAACCTGCTTACGTAGCATGCTTGGAATCATTCAGAACCACATATTGAAGCAAAATCTGATACTAACCTAACACAAACACGAATTTTAAAGCCAAAAAACGAGCACTGCAAAGAATATTCAATACAAAACTACCATTTTGTTTTATTAATTATGACATGACAATCATGACATACAATGACATATTTATGACATCAAAACATGACGCCTGACGTCACGTAAATATGCCTGGAAAAATCTAAAAAAGTACGAATTTTGTAATAAAAAATGAAAATTTACAGAAATATGTACATTACTTTCGTATCCTTGCTAACCGAAATTAGGGCTTTCACGTATATCGTATATTTATTGAAAATTAAATGAATATGTATGTCACATCTCAAATTCATGACGTCATTTGTAATTATTATAAAAGCCGTATCTCTTATGCCAGCTACGGAATTGTATATTGTTATCCATAAAATTGTTTATTCATTTACAAATTGATAAGGAGTAGATATAATATAAAAAATGATGTTAATTCCTTACATAACAACATAACATATCGTATTTACACAACAAATTTGATTTTTAAATCGTGGTTACGTTACTGTAACATTATGCACATTTAAAAAGGCCAGACAATGATCCCAAATAAGTATATAGGTGATTTCAAAGGTTGCGCCTCATATCTATGGGTTGCGCACACTTGGCATTAGAATTGATCACGAAATTAACAGATTTGTTCCTGTTAAAAACTAGTTGAAAATTGGACAAGTTTAAAAGTTGTAAACGATGAATTATTTGGTATTCAACTACTGTTCCAGTGAATATAACAGCTATTTATGCAACGCAGTTATGAAATGCCTTATTACTTTATGTAACGAGTGAATATTTTCGGGACGAGCAGAGCGAGAACCCGCAACATGGACGAGTTATTTTGTCGTGTATTGTGTCTTAATTATTTTATGCTGTTGGAAAATAAGGACCAAAACAACGTTATTACTAGAAGTTTAACCAAATTATATTTTTATAAGTCAACCTGCTCTTCTTTGATATAAACTTTCAATAATATATATTGTATATTTTATATTAATTATAAAATTAAAAAAGGTTTCACAATGTTCAAACATTATATGCAACTGGTTACGTAAAGTAGGTAGATCATTTTGACACTTGCTGCGATAACAAAAAAAATGTCAGCAATAAATCATTAATAGAAATGACTTCTTAGTTCAAAGTAAGGGCATTAGGAAGGCATATATATGCATATGATCACAGCTGTCAAATACATTTCTTTTATGATTACATAATGAGCTAGCAAAAAAGGCTATACACAATATTTGTGCGTTACCATAAATAAACAACTTATTTAATAAAGAAACCAAGTAAAAATAAAATTGTTGTCGTCATCTATTGTCGGATTTTATAAATAACTTACTGTTCGTTACAGAATTCTACGTCTGATGTGTATTGTCAAATTTGAAATTTCCGGATTTAATTTAAAATAATCAAATTTAAATTATTTGAAACATAGAAGGGTTTAGGTTTCGTATACTAAAAGAGTACTATATAATTATTTCTATAGCATTTGTGATAAGTAGAGCAAACAAAATGAATGACTTTTTTAAGGATTTTGAAAACTTTACGGAAAGTTGGTGGCCCTATATAATTTCGTTTTTAATTAGTGTTATTAGTGGAATAAGGTAAATTATTTTTATAAAACACTACAATACTATTACTAGAGGTAAATTTTAGAATGTACTTTGGAGGTACGTACTGCAGTTCACAAGCCAGACTTGATGGTAAAAATATTATAATAACAGGAGGCTCGAGTGGAATAGGGCTTGAAACGGCTAAGGAGCTAGCAAAAAGAGGTAAATGTTCAAAATGCATCCATAGTTTAGCATTCTTGTCTGTTTAATTCAAATTTATATTGTTTCTTTAGGTGCTAACTTAATACTAGCTATCAGGAATGGCGAAAAAGGTGTTAAAGCCTTAGAAGAAATCAGACTTGTACAAAAACAGGCGTCCGTACAAATAAAAATATTGGACGTATCCGAATTTTCCAGTATTAGAAATTTTGTTGAAGAAATAAAACAAGAATACAACAAAATCGATGTATTGATTAATAATGCTGGAGTTATTGGTAATAAATCTGCCAATCCGGTGGATGAAAATGAAGCTATATTTTCAACTAATTATTTAGGTATTTAATTTTATTACTTATCTTCTTTTTTATATACAGTATGTCCCCCTAAGTTGTAATCATATGGAAAACTTTTTTATTATTAATTTTAGGAAAAAAAGTTATTCCTCATACAAAGTTCTGCATTATCTAAAACCTAGAATACAGTCATCAAATATCAAATGTTTTCAGTGGTATACGAGGTTTGTCAAAAAATATGAGTATTACTCAAGAGTAAAGTACCTTTATTCTTTATATGACTTATAAAATTTGATATTTGATGGTTGTATTTTAGGTTCTAGACCATGCTCGACTTTTTATAATGAACAACTTTTTTTCCTAAAAGTAGTAATAAAAAAGCTTTCCTATGCCACCAACTCTCTACGTAAATTGGAGGAATATGAAAATCTTTTTTATTATTAATATTGGGAAAAAAGTTATTCTTTATGAAAAGTCGAACATGGTCTAAAACATAAAATAGAACCATCAGATATCAAATTTTATCAGTCGTATAAAGAATAAAGGTACTTCCCAGACAACATACCAAATCCCAGAGATATCCACAGAATATCTTTTGTGGATATCCAATATATCCACAGGATATCAGAATTATCCCGTGGATCTAATATATGGATATCCAAATGTCCGTCTATATCCAGAATATAGAAGATATCCTATGGATATCCAGTAAAATATCTAATGGGTATCTCCAGACAATACAAGAAATCCCAGAGATATCCACGGAATATATTTTGTGGATATCCAATATATCCAGTGGATCTAATATGGATATCCAAATGTCCGTCTATATCCTAGGATATAGAAGATATTCGGATATTCAGCAAAATATTTTATGGGTATCTTTAGTAGAGGTTCATAAGTAACCAATGATTATTGAATAACGTCAAAAGAAAATAGCAGAGATAAAAATATTTTCAACACTCAAAATATTTTCAACACTCTGCCTTTGATTTTGCCCACTAAGGAGAAAGTCATCCATATTAGGACTCTTCAGCAATAAATGGAAAGACTTGACTCCAGTCTCTAATGGAGTCTGATTGGGATAAAAATTTCGATCGAACTCAATTACGGCGGGTTGAGCATGAGCACGAGTGAAAGTGGTATCGCCATCTATACTTAGTAAGCAAAATCAAAAATTACATCTAGTGGATAACCACCATGGTTTGCGTTCGCGCCTAGACTTTGATATATTTAGTGAATGTCCATGGGATATTGAATACACCTTAAAAAATTAATTTTAAATATCTGAACGGTACTATTAGCCACAATGGCGTAATTTTTTAATAATTTGCTATATAATTACTATTATTTATGGACATTTGCATGTCTATAAATTACATTTCATGGATATAAAATAGATATCCACCATGGACTGGACATTCAGTGGATATTGGGATGTTCAGTAGATATCCAAAGGATTTGGTGTGATGTCCATGGGATATTGAATACACCTTAAAAAAAATTAATTTTAAATATCTCAACGGTACTATTAGCCACAATGGCGAGTACAATGGCGTAATTTTTTAATAATTTGCTATATAATTACAATTATTTATGGACATTTGCATGTCTATAAATTACATTTCATGGATATAAAATAGATATCCACCATGGACTGGACATTCAGTGGATATCTACTTGACATCCCAATATCCACTGAATGTCCAGTCCATGGTGGATATCTATTTTATATCCATGAGATGTAATTTATAGACATGCAAATGTCCATAAATAATTGTAATTATATAGCAAATTATTAAAAAATTACGCCATTGTACTCGCCATTGTGGCTAATAGTACCGTTGAGATATTTAAAATTAATTTTTTTTAAGGTGTATTCAATATCCCATGGACATCCACTATAAATATAAATATATCAAAGTCTAAGCGCGGACGCAAACCATCGTGGATATCTACTAGATGTAATTTTTGATTTTGCTTCCTAAGTATAGATGGCGATACCACTTTCGTATCTACTCATGCTTAACCCGCCGTAATTGAGTTTGATCGACATTGTTTCACAAACAGACTTCATTAGAGACTGAAGTCCAGAAGTTCCATTTATTCCTGAAGATTCCTAATAAGGATGATTTTCTCCTTAATAGGCAAAATCAAAGGCAGATTGTTGGGAATATTTTTACCTCTATTTTCTTTCGACGTTATTCAATAACCATTGGTTACTTATGAACCTCTACTAAAAATAATTATAAAATATTTATCTGAATTTCTATATCTTGGGATATAGACGGACATTTGGTTGGATATCCACAAAATATATTCTATGGATATATCTGGGATTTCTTGTATTGTCTGGAGATACTCATTAGATATTTTGCTGAATATCCATAGGATATCTTCTATATTCTGGATATAGACGGACATTTGGATATCCATATTAGTTCCATGGAATATTTCTGATATCCTGTGGATATATTGGATATCCACAAAATATATTCTGTGGATATCTCTGGGATTTGGTGTGTTGTCTGGGGTCTGGGTTTACTCTTGAGTGAAACTCATATTTTTTGAGAAACCTCGTATACCACTGAAAAAATTTGATATTTGATGACTGTATTCTAGGTTTTAAATAATGTAGAAGTTTTTATGAAGAATAACTTTTTTCCTAAAATTAATAATAAAAAAGTTTTCCATATGATTCAACTTAGGGGGACATACTGTATATTGTACAACTTGAGTGGATTGTTATTTACTAATTTATTCCTAGATTTCTTACCTACTTTCCATTAGTTTTGGGTGTTTTAACAGAAAAAATGCATTTCCTTTTCCAACCTTTAAGTTTTCTTTTCAGGTTTAATTTAGTCAAAGTCATAAATTCAAATCTTTGTGATAATTATTTTTTAAATTAGTTATTTTCTTATTAATCGCTAAATTACTTTTCAAAGTTTTCTAGATTTTATTTATTGGGTCGTAGAAAAAATATTCTTTCAACTCGAGTGGATTGTCCTTATCGCATTCAGACGATATGTCTTCGTGCCATACACGGCTATTATATTCACTCTTGATGCACAAACTACTATACTGTTGCATTTCAGGTCCATTTTTGTTGACTCACTTACTGCTGCCTTTGCTCAGTCAATCTGATAACGGTCGAGTCATTAACGTATCAGCTTTAGCACATTACAACGGAAAGTTGCGTCTCGATGAAACTTTTGGCCAAAGTTCAACGACGCAAGAAGCTTTTGCCGAAAGCAAGCTAGCTTTGACGGTGTTCACAAAGTATATAGCTCAATTACACAAAAGTAAGTTCCTGTAAAAAAAATTAAATATTAACAACAATAAGAAAAGTTTGCTGTTGTAACGCCTCGTACCGTGATCAACTATACAGGTCGGTAAAAACTCGTTACACCGTCAACTTCATGAAGACGTGGTACCACCTAACCAATGATGCTTTGTCTTTCAGATTTATTCCTTCCGTTCTGGGAATTTTTTCTAGACGAGGACTGTTATATGAAGGGTTATCTAATACAATAACTAATCCCGGTTCTAAACGCTAAAGAGTAAAAATATCTAATATTTTAAAAAACAGGAATGCTGAAAAAGAATTTTCTGACTGGTTAATCACGATTCGAGGTTTTAAATGAATGGCAAGTTTATATAAAAATTCAGATGTTTCATTTTCAAATTGTTATACCCTCCTTTTCGGATTGTAACCGATTTTTCTCTCCCTTTCCCCATAACTTTAAATCGGTTTGTTTTAGATACCAACATGACTTTTAATGCCGTGAGCCCAGGTCTGGTCAGGAGCACCGGCCACTGGACCAATTTTTCGCAATTGTACAGCTCATATTTAACCAAATTCTCCATTTTGCCTTGGGTGTGGTTATTTTTGAAAACTCCCAAGCAGGGTTGTCAAACCATTGTATATCTTGCGGTAGAGCCAAGCCTACATAAGGTTTCTGGATGTTATTTTAGGTACAGTAATTTTTTTGGCACAAGCACTTTCTTTATACTTTTAAACTCTATATTAGGTGATATTTGGTAATTTGGAAGTATTTACTGTTTTAATTTTGGAAAAATTTCAATTTTTTAAGGCTTTGTGAATTTTAACTTTAGTATTTGTATTGTTAACTTTTGCAATGTTTTTAATCTTTTCTATTTTCTTCGATTTACAGATTAAGCCTTTTAACCTGTTTTTTTTTTCATTTTTCGATTTTTTAACGTTATCTTTCATTTTTTTAACTTTTTATGTGATTTTTTAAAACTTTCACTTTTCTTTCATGTCATTACATCTTTTCATTTTGTATTATTTAAATTCTTGTCTTAGTATTTTGCGTGTATTTTTTTTTTTTAACTTTTATTACATTTATATTTTTTTATCCAGTCAGTTTTTTTGTTTTATCGAATTATATTTAAATTGAGTTTAATTATGTAACTTTTCTTCTTTGCTTTATTTTTATTTTCTCGATTTATTTTTCTTTTTTGCCTTCAACTTCTGGCCAGTTTGCTTTTCTGTTTTTTGTCATTTAAGATTATTATTCTTATAATGCATTTTTTAACTTTTGGAGTATTTTTAACTTTTATTCTTTTTCTTTGCAATGCAATTATTGTAGTCTTGTATATTTTATTTTGATTTAGTTTCAATTTCTTTATTGTTTAGATTAAATTTATTTGCATTTTTATTTTTTTTACTATTTTTTTTTTAACATATGTATATCTTTGAATATTTCGTTTTTATGCCTTTTTGACTATTTTATTTTCTAGTGATTGTGAGATAAAGGAACCAGCTGACGTTGCTAACGATTACAACGTGGCCAGAACATTATACGAAAAAACATGCAAAATAGTTGCAGTTGAATCAGAAAATTTAAATATTCAAAAGAAATCTGCATTAGAAAAAGAAGAAATTAACTGAACATGACTATATTTTGTAATTTTACATATTTTTTAACGTATAGGCATATATTCCAATTTTTTATACGTTTTTGTTTTTTTGAATAAAATCGAAGAGTACATCCCCTATTTGCTTTTTATTCCAAAATATTATCCTGATAAAAATACATCTAATTTAGCCTAGATGGCGCAGATATGTGCTTTGTGCCCCTATTTGTTAGATAACTTCAATTACAAGTCGGGTTTCCCCAATGGATAATCCCGCCAAGATCAGCGATCAGTAAAATTTTAGGGCGGATTTTACCTGGCTTCCCATAATAAACATTCAATCGATGTCAATTCACTCGATTTATTAAAACGACCGATTTTAATTTCGTAAAATCAAATCGATTCTTAATATTTTCATCTTCAAATACAAACAATTTATTAATCAATAAAAACAGGTATTAAAAACGCAATATTGATCTAATTAATTATGATTGGAATGTATTATTTTATATGCTGTGTTATAATTCTGTATAATTCAAGCGTATGTGATTAAATAGTATTAATCGATTTCTCGATTGCTCGGAATCGCTAGAAACCATTGCATCGAAACCGCCCCACCATGTTACAAAAGTTGTTTATGTTTTGATTATGGCGCCCACGATGTTATTTATTCGTTAGTCGGGAAAATTCAAAAGTTTCACAAATATTTGTTAATCAACATGCCTCAAACCGACTGCTGTAGCGGATTGTTAGAAGTGAAAATTCCGTCGAAATCGAAAAGAGGATTTACACCATGGAAGGTATGTAATAGAAAGTAATTAATTTTAATCCAAGACCATGTTGTTTACACCTTAGTTGTTTACTTGAAAATTTGAATTTCAATTAGGCATGGAAGAAACAATGGTGCGAAATTAAACGTTTGGACAGTATCGAGAACGGAGTGGAACTTAAATTGAAATCCAGCAAAGATGGAAATGTTTTAAATTGTTTTATACTGCCCAGATCTTCCATCATTTGTAGGACAGAGTCTAGAACCAAACAGTATGCTTTTGGCGTTTTTAATTTAGGCAGGAAGCAGAAACCTATTATATTTTTAACTGGCGGCTCAGAATCTGAATCTCAAGACTGGATGGGCTCTATTCGAAGAATGCTCTCTGTTGCTTCATATTTACCAGGTAAGTCATTATTTTATGTAATACTTATGAAAATTAGAAATGTTTTAATTCATTATAATAATATGAAATTATTTTTTTGCATTGATTTGAGTTGATAAAAGTTTTGGTAATTATTGGGAAGACGCCCTTTTCTTAATAATCCAATTTTTTTTTCAAAACTTACGTTTTAGGCTTTAGGAAGGATAGTAATCTTCAAATTTATCTGCGGAAACCCCATACATTTTACTTTTTTTTTCTTTTTTATGTATTATTTAGGAATTTTGAGGATCATTTATATAAGCTTCTTTTTAGAATTATATCTGTCCTGTCATACTGGAAACTGTCACGCCATTACAAATGCGCGGTGTTGCCAACTTCTCCAATCCTAATCAATGAAAAATAAATGTAAAAAACTATAATTACACCACCGGTGGAAATCGCAAAAAATGTGATATTATGGGTTCGATTAATTTTAAGAACTCAGAATTTCGAAAAAAAAAAATTGTTACACTAAAAAGTGCTCATTTTATATAGTAAGATTTTAAAGGGCGTCTTCCCAATAATTACCAATTTTATTTAAATTGTTGTAATACACAATTGACTGAATATTAATATTACATCATCTATAAAGTAATAAACAATGTTTACTTTTTAAAAACTCAATTACTTTACCCAAAAGTGTTTAAAGTTTTTCCAAACAAGGAAATTTATTTATCTGACAACATATGACTTGACGGCCAAAGTCAACGATTATCATCAACTAAAGACGATAGCCGAATTCGTTTAATTTCTGCTGGGTTAGCCGTGACATTATCCCCCGAATACGTTCAGCTACATTTAAAACGTACACCAATACACACTTTTTAAAATTACGACGTTTAATATTTTCTTACTTTAAAATATAAAAGTAACTCAGATATTCAAAAATCATTTGACCGAGAGAGAAAATTACACGCATCTAAAAAATTATAGGAGTAAATAAATAGGTAATAAATTTGAATACCATGGCCATGTTATTTAAACATTTTTTAATTAAAAAATATTTAAGAAATTTGACATGTTAGGGTATAATTCAAAATGAATATAACAAGTGTACAACAAGAAACTTGCTAATATTAAGCTGCCGTCATCTCACCCACCTTCTAACCACTATAAAAGAGCGAGCGAAGCGAGCGCGCCCGGCCGACGTTTCGAAATTCGCGCGCGCGCCCTTTTTACATCTACAATATAAGATATACGCTGCCGTCATCTCACCCTACTCCTAACCACTTCAGAAGAGAGCGAGCGAAGAGAGAGGGCGCCCGGCCGACGTTTCGAAATCGTGCGCGCGAATTCGAAACATCGGCCGGGCGCTCTTTTTTTAAATCTACACAATAAGACACACGCTGCCGTCGTCTCACCCACCTCCTAAAAACTACAGAAGAGAGCGAGCGCGCCCGGCCGACGTTTCGAAATTCGCGCACGATGTCGGCCGAGCGTGCATTTTTTACATCTACACTATAAAACATACGTCGCCGTCTACTCACTCACCTCTTAACCGCTTTAGAAGAGAGCGAGCGAAGCGAGCGCGCCCGGCCGATGCTTCAAAATTCGCGCTCGACCGGGCGCGCCTTTTTTACATTTACACTATAAGTCATACGTTGCCGTTATCTCACCTAACTCCTAACTACTACAGAAGAGAGCGAGCGAAGCGAGCGCGCCCGGCCGACGTTTCGAAATTCGCGCGCGAATTTCGAAACGTCGGCCGGGCGCGCCTTTTTTACATTTATACTATAAGTCATACGCTGCCGTTATCTCACCTAACTCCTTACTACTACAGACGAGAGCGAGCGAAGCGAGCGCGCCCGGCCGACGTTTCGAAATTCGCGCGCGAATTTCGAAACGTCTGCCGGGCGCGCCTTTTTTACATTTACACTATAAGTCATACGCTGCCGTTATCTCACCTAACTCCTAACTACTACAGAAGAGAGCGAGCGAATCGAGCGCGCCCGGCCGACGTTTTGAAATTCGCGCGCGCGCGAATTTCGAAACGTCGGCCGGGCGCGCCCTTTTTACATCTACACTATAAGATATACACTGCCGCCATCTCACCCTACTCCTAACCACTTTGTCGGCCGGGCGCGCGCTCGCTTCGCTCGCTCTTCTGTAGTAGTTAGGAGGTAAGTGAGTTAACGGCGGCGTATGACTTATAGTGTAAATGTAAAAAAGGCGCGCCCGGCCGACGTTTCGAAATTCGCGCGCGAATTTCGAAACGTCGGCCGGGCGCGCTCGCTTCGCTCGCTCTCTTCTAAAGCGGTTTGGAGGTGGGTGAGTAGACGGCAGCGTATGTCTTATAGTGTAGATGTAAAAAATGCACGCTCGGCCGACTTCGTGCGCGAATTTCGAAACGTCGGCCGGGCGCGCTCCCTCTCTTCTGTAGTGGTTAGGAGGTGGGTGAGATAACGGCAGCGTATGTCTTATGGTGTAGATTTAAAAAAAGAGCGCCCGGCCGACGTTTGGAATTCGCGCGCGCGCGATTTCGAAACGTCGGCTGGGCGCGCGCTCTCTTCGTTCGCTCTCTTCTGAAGTGGTTAGGAGTAGGGTGAGGTGGCGGTAGCGTATATCTTATAGTGTAGATGTAAAAAGGGCGCGCCCGGTCAAATGATTTTTGAATATCTGAATTACTTTTAAATTTTAAAGTAAGAAAATATTAAACGTCGTAATTTTAAAAAGTGTGTATCGGTGTACGTTTCAAATGTAGCTGAACGTATTCGGGGGATAATGTCACGGCTAACCCAGCAGAAATTAAACGAATTCGGCTATCCTCTTTAGTTGATGATAATCATTGACTTTGGCCGTCAAGTCATAATTATGTTGTCAGATAAATAAATTTCCTTGTTTGAAAAAACTTTAAAGACTTTTGGGTAAAGTAATTGAGTTTTTAAAAAGTAAACATTGTTTATTACTTTATAGATGATGTAATATTAATATTCAGTCAATTGTGTATTACAACAATTTAAATAAAATTGGTAATTATTGGGAAGACGCCCTTTAAAATCTTACTATATAAAATGAGTACTTTTTAGTGTAACAATTTTTTTTTTCGAAATTCTGAGTTCTTAAAATTAATCGAACCCAAAATATCACATTTTTTGCGATTTCCACCGGTGGTGTAATTATAGTTTTTTACATTTATTTTTCATTGATTAGGATTGGAGAAGTTGGCAACACCGCGAATTTGTAATGGCGTGACAGTTTCCAGTATGACAGGACAGATATAATTCTAAAAAGAAGGTTATATAAATGATCCTCAAAATTCCTAAATAATACATAAAAAAGAAAAAAAAGTAAAATGTATGGGGTTTCCGCAGATAAATTTGAAGATTATTATCCTTCCTAAAGTCTAAAACGTAAGTTTTGAAAAAAAAATTGGATTATTAAGAAAAGGGCGTCTTCCCAATAATTACCAAAGTTTTTAATATACTTATTTTAGAAATATTTTCTATGCCAAGTGTTTTGTGTTTATATACAGGGTGTCTCAAAATTGCTGGGACAGAGCTACCATATAAAAGTTTTTTCATATATTTATTTTGGAAATATTTTCTATGCCCATCAATAGATAATTTGTATTTTGTGTACTGTTTAATAATATTTAAAAAAATATGCTAAAAATACCCTTCTCCTAAGTTTTTATGTTTATATTGAGGGTGTCCCAAAATTGCTGGGACATAGAGCTGCACATATTTTACAGGTCAAAATAAGTCAATTGGATCCAACTTATCTCAATTTATGTACCAAAATGTACGGTTTGTGAGAAAAAAAAATTATTGAAATATTTACTGTCAATGATAAACTGGGACAATTATGAATTTGTTTCCTGTCAAAATCATGACTTTTGTTTTTTGTGTCCATGACCAACTAAATTTTGTACTAAAATTAAACTTGTATTAATAATATCTGCTATCAATGTTTGAGAATATATTTTTTTACTTCAAAACTATGCGAAATACGGAGTTTTTACAATATTAAAAAAATGAAGATAATTAGTAAGACTTCCCATTAAAAAATTCTTAGAACCATATTAACACCTCTAAGGGGAGGGGGGATTGTACAAAAATTGCAGTAAACTCAGTTTAGCTAACAGGAGTTTATTTTTTAATTGATTATATTTAAAGTACAGAAAATGTAATTTTTGAAACTATGTTTAACAATAACCGATAATTATACAGGGTGTTCCTCATAAGTACCGACACAGAACAGGTGCGTGTTAGGCACTCCAAAATGTAACTAATTGTATTCCCATTTAAATCGATTTTATTAAAAGTAATTTGCTATTTGTTAAATTTATTAACATCATAATGCATTGATTTAATTAAAATTAAAATATTAAGTTTACTAAAGTTTTAAAATAAAATTCTGCATAAAATAAAATAAAAATTTTAAAAATATAAGGGTGGATTACCCCAAAACCACCCATTAAAATATTTCAATTAATTCTTACTCACCCCCAAATTAAGACTCATGAAGTGCCTAAATAATTTACCAAATATAGATTTTTTAAGTTAAACGGTTGCAGAGATATTACATTTTTTCTAAATTATGGCCCCACTTTAGGCTGCCATAACGTCTTAGGGGTACAACTTGGTACAGAGGTAAATTGTGTTAAATCATCATATTTTAGGGTGCCCAACACACACCTGTTCTGTATCGCTACTTATGTGGATCACCCTGTATAACGAGGTTCACCATTTAATCCAAGACTACATTTTAACTGAGAAAATAAAAAAATACTTAGGTGACAGTGGTTTTAACCCTTCTACAATTACTGAAAGTAGGTTAATCCTCTAAAAGTCTAAAATATACTTTTGCCAAATTTCATTAAATTTATTTCACACATTTCTGAACAGCATACAAAAATGTTATTTTTTTAAATAAACTTTGAACTCTTTTCACAGACAAACGGTACATTTTGATATATTTATATACAAATTGGGTCCAGACAACTTATTTTGACCTCTACAATATGTGGTAGCTCTATTTTCCAACAATTTTGAGGCATCCTGTATATTTATTTTCTTAATATTTTTATGAAAAATTATCAAAACAAGCAATTTCTTATTTGATTACTGTTAACAATAATTATTAACAAGTGTGTTTTGATGTACTTATAAATTCAAAAAATGAACTAAATGAAATAATTATGACCAATATTTGTATTGTGAAATATGCTTTTTATTAATAATGCTAAATGCATTTAACAAATTCCCAGACAGTGAATATCAAATGACCAACTCTGAGAACCATTTAAAATGGTGTATTTCAGAATCATAGGATTTTTTATATAGATAACAATTCTTAGTAAAACCATGCATTGAATTCCTAAACCTCATTTGTGTGTACGTTTTGTGTATCATAGAAAGAGAAGACAAGATATTGTTTGTTTTGATAATTTGAAAAACATTTTTGTTTGACCTGAAAAATACCTTGTTGACAAACAGTTACTGAATTACATCTATGAATTCAACCAAAATGTATATTTGGAGCTATGAGACATTTTATTTTTCTATTATTTGTTGAACCAAATATTTAAAATTAGAATGCAAATCTGTAACTTCCTGTAATTAAAATAGTTTGGTGGTGTCATAATAGGTTTAAATCATTTTTTAGAGGCAGTGAATCAGATTTAACTGTATTGTGAGAATGTTTAAATAAAAATAATTGAATTTTGTGGTATTTTTCTTCATTTTTTTTTTGTAATTAAATAGCAATTATGGATATTACTATTTTTATATAATTTAAAATGGATATGATTTGAATCTAATAGTACATTTATTATGTTTATTTTTTATTTAAAGATTGTTAATTGATATCTGGGGCATGATTTTTTTGTAATTAAATAGCAATTCTATTAAATGTTATTTTAATGTTTAATGTTTTTTTGTCATTTGATCATGCTTCTATATTTGACTAGTTTCCAATATAGAAATAATAAATCAATAAATCCCATAAACAATAATTTTGATATAGTACTTACCTATTCATAAACAGCTAAGTAATTATCATTTGTTTAATTATATTTTAAAGATTATTTTGGAATCTTAATCCAGTGACAGCTGGTGCAGGAGGGCCCAGGGGAATCACTCTCCCCTCCAAATAAAAAAAATACCTACTTAAATCCTCATGGCACCGTCTTAATTTCATAAGGAAAACCTATTTTTACTTTGTCCAACATTTTTCATCTAATATAAATAGTGGTTTTTTTACTATTCTTGGAAGTATATAATGACTGTATAAGTGATCTATTAAACATATATATTTTTAATTTAAATTCTCAAATTCGTATTATTCTGCTATTACCTTATTGTTTATTTACATGAATACTGGGAAAGATAAAAATATTTGTTATATTGTAAAATGTTTGTTTTTCAATCTGTTTATTCCTGTTTATTTAAATTTTCATACAGGGTTATTGATTTAGTGATGTCATGATGAAAACAAGTAATTCAAAGTTTTATGATTATTTGCCACAACAAAGACGTCTTCTTCCTGACGTACAATCAGAAATTATTCATCTTGTAAAGTTGGAGACAAAAAGAAGAGAGATAAAGTGCTATATAGAGGAGAAATGTAATAAAATCATACTTTTGAAAGATATTCACAATATAGCCACCAAATCAAAAATTTTACAAGTATTTTTTCTTACCACTGGCATTCAATGTTTTAAATACAGTAGACCATCGTCCGGCGGCTTTCCTATATGAAGAAAACCATGCCGCCGGAAGACGACGGTTTTCTTTTCAACAAATACAAGCACCGCCGGCGGTCGGTTAGCCAGTGTGTTGATTTTAAACAGAATTGCCGTTTCTGAAATATTTAGAAATATTAGTGGTAATGTCAGATACGACTTGTATGCTTAGAAGGACTGAATAGTTATGTAAAGGAAAATAAAGTCCTTTATTTTTTTTTTGTGTCATCGGCTTCAACTGCTAAGTTTATTTCGCCTTGTGTTCTGTGTAGGATTTGTTACTGTTTCCCAGCGCCACTTTAGGAACGGCACTGTTAATTAGAACCCAACAGTGAATGGCCGAGTGGGGAATACTACCAAGATATCAGAATTAATTTTAAATAATTAAATTAAATGAAAAAAATCCAGGCCAACGGTGGCATTCGAACCTGGTACCCTTGGATCCACAGGCATCGACTACCACTGAGCTACCCACCCCCTAAGTTCTTTATTATTATTACGTTTGAGACGCCACGCCTCTTGGCTCATATAGCACTGTTGCCGTTATGTCGCTCTCAATGTATAGCCTATGCCAGATGAAAAAATAAGTACTCCACCAATATTATCTTGCAGTTGACAATTGCAACTTCAGAGTCTCTCTAGTAGACAATCATCACTCGAGGTCAGCCGGTCTATTGGGAACTTTTGGAGTGTTGAGTGTCAACCAACAGGACCTGGTGATAAGCGATCCTTGCACGGGTGAACCGAAAATCACCTGGAAATGGTTTCATTTTCACCAATTCCATCTTCAGGCACCGCTTCATTCCGGAGCCGATCAGAAGATCATCGTCATGCACACCAGCAGGTAAATTGTGGAAATGATTTTACAAAATGCGTTTATTGAAACAAATGACTTTGTAGCGAATTTCCTGCTGGCCCCGGGCAGCTTTTCCTTTACTGCAAATACGCTTCGAACTTGTTACATCATCTCGTCGCTAGAGGTCACTATCCGAAGGCTACAAATCGACTTAGTCGCAGCGAAGGGGATCTTTGTAATGCGTTAAATAATTCTTATCAATCTGAGAGTCCGGTGTGCCTCAGGAGTCAGACTGGTAGCGAAGATTCTGGTATAAGGGCGTCTACCGTTTCGGACGATTCGGAGTATCAGTTGAAGACTAAGGTCAGTGTAACAGAAAATTTATTTATGGGGTTTTATTAAAATTTTCTGTTTTTAGAACGCTTCAAGTGTGATCAGTATTGGAATGGATGTGGTAACAAAAACACCTGGTGGTAGTGAAACTGAAGATTCTTCTCAAGATCTCCTTATTCCAGACCAGTAAGTGTTTATTCCCATGTTTATTAATGTATTCAAAATATTGAATGCTAGTTGTATATTTATGTTTGTTGGCTTATTGTAGAAAACTTGGTATTCCAAGAAACGAGTCTGGAATATCCCTAGCTTCGGGAATATACGAGGAAATACCAGATGATCATGAATACATTTCTGGTGCTTCAAACACAAAACACGCCAGCCACGTCTACGAAAATCCTTCTGACGTCATTATCGAGTTGAGGAAAAAGTTTTTCTTCACGCCACCTCCTTTGCCGCCTAGGTCTGCAGATTTTGGATGGTTAAAGTAAGTTTTTGTGATTTTTATTATTTGTTAATTTGATTTTTCTATAAAAATATTTTGCGATAGTATAGTAGGTACATGTACATATTTTAGTTAAAAAAAAAAACTAATTTTGTAGTGTTTTTAGGTTGTTAAAGGATGATTCAATAGTTCCTAATCTGATTGACTATAACATTAAACTACTATTTTAAATATTTGTTTCTAGAAAAAAAACAATAGGGTAATTATGGTACTTTTCAATTATTACCTTCTATGAAGCAATTAGAAAGCAATTAATAGTAAAATGACGTATAATCCCGGATTATGTAATTCAAATTTATTGTAAAGTGAAATGATTCTTCAATAAATTTGTTTACAGGTACTTATTTTGCCAGGTATTTAAAAACTATCTTGATTACAAGGGCATTTAACAAATTTTGTTTACTAGGGTCTTAGGAGAGTTGTTTTGGTAAAAGCTTCCTATTAAGGTAATCAGGGACGGATTAAGGTTTGATTTTAAAGAAAAATATTATAAGGTTGTTAACTATAATAGACATAATATAATGTTAAAATAAATAAAATCATTAATACTGAGATAAAAGCTAAAGAATTTATGATATACATTGTGTCTACCTAAGTTGTCACCATAGGGAAAAATTTATTATTATTGGTTTACGAAAAAAATTATTCTTTATAAAAAGTTCTGCATCGTCTAAAACTGCAAATACAATTACCAAATATCACTTTTTTCTAGTCATATACCAGGTTTGTCAGAAAATGTGAAATTTAGTTTTAAAAATATTGAAAACTGTTTTAATTGTAAATTATCATTTTTCTCGAAAAAATAAAATTCAATTTTTTAGACATTTTTATCTAAAACAGACTTATTTTTTCCTGCAGGTTTATTTTTGATTTATCGTTTTGAAATTGAATGACATGTCACTGGGTCAATTTGTATTCTAAATTAAATTTTATTGTGTATGCAAACATTTTTAAGGATGTTGTAGAGAAAAATGTGTACAAAATAATAAAATCTCATTTTTCAGGATAGATGGATGTAATTGCATATTAGAATGTAGTTTTTAATCATTCTTAAGTTTTCGGGGTTTTCAAAACTAAAGGAATCTACTTTACTGTTGAGAAAATTTCACACATTTTTTTACTAATGTGGTTTATGATTAGAAAAATTTGATATCTGATAGTTGTATTTAAGGTTTTAGATAGACGAACGGAACTTTTTACAAAAAAAAATCCATTTGCTGACAACTCAGGTAGAATCCCTTACTGTAAAATTATTAATTACATAACTTGGTATTTAATTAGTTTTTGAATGTACTTTTATTTATTTCTAAACTTTCCAATTTTAGAAAATAATTGTGTATCCAAGTAATAAGAGTTTTGACACACGCCAAGGTTACAATACCGTGTATGGATATTAAATTGACGTTTCATGGTACCTGGGGAGCCTATTAAGACAATCTGTGTTTATCTGGGACGGGTTAAGGGTTGATCTTATTTTTCAGGGTAGATAAATGTAATTACATATTAGAATGTAGCTTTCAATTCTTATCAACTTTTTTTATAACTGGTTTCGATGTTTTTAAACCCCCTGTTTAAAAAGTACCTCTTACTTTATTGTTGAAACAATTTCATATTTTTTAACCAGCCTCGTATATGATTAGAAAAAAAAAAGATATATGATGGTAGTATTTATTTATAGACGATGCAGATTTATTTACAATAAATAAATTTTCCATTTGCTATCTTAGGTAGAATCCCTCACTGTAGAATTATTATTAATTGCATAAGTTGTCGTTTAATTAGTTTTTAAATTTATTTACATTTATTTCTAAACTTTCTCATTTTAGAAAAGCATTTTGTATCCTAGTAATAAGAGTTTTGACACACGCCAAGGTTACAATAATGTTTATGGATATAAATGCTGCGTTTGAGAATCCACATCGGATGCATTTTTTACATCTCGAGCGTTTTTTTATCCATATCGGACACGTCTGTCCCATTTACATTTACGTATACTGCATCACGTGATCAAAGATTTTTTACATCTCAGATGCATCCGATGTGGATTCTCAAACGCAGCATAAATGTGTTACATTTTTGATGTTTCATGTGACCTGACGTGACGCCAAAGAAACTTTCAAACATATCGTCTTATGTTTTACATCATAATAAATGTTGATTATTTTCAATGTGGGCCAAATTAAACTTGTACACTTTTTAATCTTAAATAACTGTTTACCTGTTGCACCCATTTAATTAATTTTTGGATGGCTAGTATGTATATTCTTTCTAGGATGTCCAGTTTTGGTTGAAAAATTTTAGACAGGAGTGGACTTACAGGATTTTTTCTAAAATGCTGTACGTAATCGTTTAAAAAAAATTTGGTAAAATCGAACCTGCCAACAATTTTGGGATCCAGGAATTATGATTTTTTTTGTTAAATTATGCTTAAATTATGGTTTTATATCGAATAAAATTACGGATGCGTTAAAAAAGATCGCATTTTAATAAAAGAACCTGAGAGAAAACCTTAATTATGGTTCTTGAAGACTTGTAAAAATGTTTCCACAAAAAAAAATTGGACAACAGATGAGACTTTGTGTTAATTGTGGTAATGTTAATATTATATAGTGTTGTCAGATTTTATGTAGTGAGTGAGAAAATATTATAATTGAAAGGGGTGAATTGAACGCCACTAATTTTCAAATAAAATAAAGAAAAAGGACAATGACACATGTAAAAATATAGGGTGTCACAAAATTGCTGAACCCATTTTATATAAAAACCAAAATATACCGTTTGTCCATGAGAAAAAAAAGTGAACAAATTATTGAAACATTTACTATTCACATTAAACTGGGACGATTATGAATTTGTTTTCTGTTAAACTCATGACTTTTTATTTTTGTGTTCTCGGCCAACTAATGCTACAATTAAACTTCGTAGTGGAATGACAAACCTACACAAATGAGCATATTTATGCATATGAAAATCCCCATGCTATTAAAGATAGACATAGTCAACGATAATTTAAAATTAATGTCTTGGTCGGAAGTATTGGCAATTTTTTGCTTGGGTCGTTCCGACCGCCTGATCGTCTGGATGGTGCTAGTTACCTTCGTTTCCTTCCAAAAATTTTGTTAGAATTAGTAAATACTTGCCCCCTTAATTTACATCGAAACAACTTCATCGTGCACGATGGTGCACCACCTCATTTTGCAAGTGCCGTGAGAGAGTATCTTAATGAACAATTTTCTGGTAGATGGATTGGTAGTGGACAAGATGCACATATTCAGTGGCCTATGCGGCCTCCAGTATTAAATCCTTGCGACTTCTTCATCTGGGGAGTGTTAAAAGCACAAGTGTATGAGGTTCAGATTAATAATTCCAAACAACTGTGAAACAATTCAAAATCTTGTAAAAGCACTGACGAGAAAACGACGATGTTTTAAGAAGGGTGCATTTCAATTTTTACCTCGAATTGTCCTCTACATTAATGTGAAAACTGCACTTAATTTTTTGTCTCACGAGCTATTTTCAACCAGTCTGGTTCCTGATCTTTGTTTACCTCGAGAAGTTACTGGAAGGTTATTTCGCGCCCGTTGAGGAAGGATTTCGAGAACATCTAGACTAGCATCGAGATTTTTTGGGACAGGACTGGATTTTTCTAGACCATTATATTTTTGTACATAAGTGGATTCTTTTGCCCTTATTAGTTCTGAAATAATTAAATACCAGAGGGCGAGAGTGATTTTAACCCTCCTACAATTTCCTTTATTTCTTTTATTATTGCTGTAAGTAGGCTAATCCTCTAAAATGTACTTTTGTCAAATTTCATTTAATTTTATTTCACACATTTGTGAACAGCCTACAGAAATGTGTTTTTTGAAGTAAACTTTGAACCCTTCTCATGGACAAATGATACATGTAGGTATCTTAAGTTATTGCTGATTATACTACTAATATTTTAATTTTTCTGAAGATGACTTCACAAGGTCGAAAGCGCTTGAAAGTGTTTTAAAAAATCAATTAAAAATCCTGTAGTTGACAGAATTTGTATTTTTCTCATTTCTATTTAATCTATTTCAGACCACTTTAAGATATGGATATGAATTAGGTCCATTTGACTTATTTTGACCTCTACGATACGTGGTTACTCTATATCCCGACAATTTTGGGAACCCCTGTATTACGAAATTTGACAATGTTGTGGAATTTTGGGTTTGTCAATGAAAAGAAAAAAATTACATTTTAACAAGTTTATTTAACAAACAACTAGTTGACTAGTAGGGGTATTTTGACATTTTTATTTAATTGCTGTATATTTAAGAGTCTTGGCGTCCAGATGTTGATTGACTTCCTAGGGGACTATTTTCAAACTCGAGAGAAAGGAGTATTCAAATTCTTTATTTTTTACTAGGGATAAAATTACAAGTAAATTGTGCTGTGCATAATATCCATAACTATATATTAAATAAAATTAAAATTGATGCAAAATACCAACTGCACGATGTTCTAGTGTTATTGTGTGAGTAAGAATGGCATACACACCAGGATTAGAGGAACTAGGTTTTCCTCTAGTGCCATAATTTGCAATTGGTAATTACATCAATCATACAGTTTGCAATCATTTTACTACTACGTCATATATTAAGCAAAAACCAAACAAAAAATTAATTATTATTCTATTGAGAGAAAGGAGTGTTCTATTGAAAGAAAAGAATATCTGAATACATAATTATGTATTCTCTTTAATTCTTATTTTCAAACACCTTACTGAAAGAGTTGTTTGTTGTTCCTTCTGGGCGAAGCAGGGGGCCAAATTCTTTTCTAAACCAAGAGAAACAGTCAGTGAGTAGTCACTGTCTTTCAAAACACCATTTCCACATTGACTTATAACATTTCACATGAAATCTTGAGAGAAATAAGTAATCCCTTTGTTTGAAAGTAGATCCCCTAATGTGTGTCCAGCGGGGACTATTAACAGAACGTTTGTGATGCTCGGGCTAATTCGCCATTGACTTTTACTGTACGACGATGACGTTCATAATGAGACTGGCCAGAATGAATGCCTTATGTCTAAGGAAGAGAAGCGTTCGGTACCAATTTTCTGGGTAATTATCGAACGTTCTTACTATGGATTCATCCGGTGCGGTGTTGCCAGATCTTCTTTACAAATTTCCACAGATCTTGGGAATTATCGAAAGGCTTATCTTCTACTATTAAATTTGCAATCATAACTAATGAAGTGATGATAATGTTTTGAAACAAGACTTTACAAAGCTTCTATGGAAAACGTTATAATCTTTGATGAATAAACGACAAGCGTCATAAGTCTGGGTAAGAATACTACCTTCGCCGTTGGTAACACTTTTAGTGACGTTTTTTGTTTTGTTTTTAAGTGAGTTGGTTTACCTTACAGTCTACACTTGAATCCGGAAATAATAGGCAGTAATGGAATGTCTTAAGAACGCTGTCATCTGTCATTGTGCCAAAGTTTGGTTGATATATCTTAGGTTGGGACAGCAGCAAATTTTTCAGTTGTGGTTATAATATTTGATGTTGAATATGAAATAGAAGTAGAATTTATTTCGTAAAACTTACTTTCATGACATCGTCGTAAATATGGTACTTATGGTATTTAGCTAAAATAGATACATTTTACAATTAACATAATAAAATTTATCTAAAAAAATTTAAGGTGTTTCTGTTAAAAATGGGAACCTTGGTAGGTTTTAAAATAATACCAAACACTTGTTCTTCGCCAACGACTATATTACGACTAACTCATGGAGGATCTATTTCGTCTTGTGAAACGTGACATTCAATAAGTAAGCAAGAGAGGGCGCTAGGTGCATCATAAAAAGGAGGCTATTTCAAACTTTCAACACCCCCCACTAGTTTGAAATAATAATTCACAAAAAAAAAAGAAAAAACTTACAAGCTTTCTAAACCCAGGTGTTTCAAAAACTTGTAATGTTTGTTTGCTCCCAAGGCTTTTGTCAAGATATCTGCAGGCATTTAATTTGTCTGCAAGTATTCTGTATTGATCAAACCACTTGTTGCAGTTTCTCTAATGAAATGATGACGAACATCTATGTGTTTAGTCCTTTTATGAAACACGGGGGTTGACGTAAGCTTTAGGACACTTTGACTATCACTATAAATTGAAATACAATCAAAGGAACCTGTCAATTCTCTTAATAGGTTTCGAAAATATATGGCATCCTTAGCTGCTTCTGCTAAGGCCATATATTCGGCCTCCGTGCTTGAGAGGGCGACTGTTTTTTAGTTTACTGCTCTCCCAAGACACAGCTGAATTTGAGAAAATGAAACAAAAACCTGTACTTCCTATCCAGAAAATTGTTGGCCCAATTAGCATCTACAAAACCTTCTAGACTTTTTGAGTCTTTCTGAAACTTTAAACATAAGTTTTTGGTTTTCTGTAGATATTTCAAAATTCTTTTAACACTCTGCCAGTGAGTATTATCAAAACAGTTATTAAACTGGCTAAGAAAACTAATACTATAAGATATATCTGGCCTTGTCATGACTGCCAAGTACATTAGGCCACCTATTAAATGTTGATATGGCAAGGGATCGCAACTTTCACTTTTTGATAAATTTAAATTTCTCTCCATTGGCGTATCGACAGTTTTGCAGTCAGACATCCCAAATTTAGATAATAAATATTCTGTGTAATGTCTTTGGTCCAATGTTATGACAATCCTTGCCTTGTCTATACGGATGTTCATTCCTAAAATTTGCTTAGCCTGGCCAAGATCTTTTAACTTCAAATTTACCGCTAATTCTTTTTTTAAAACATTTGATTCAACAATATAATTTGAAAAAATGAAGAAATCATCAACATACAAGGCAGTGACTGTCATTAGACCCTCATTAAACTTAATGAAGACACATGGCTCAAATTTGGATTTATTGTACCCTAAATTAGTTAAAACACCTTCGACCTTCTTGTAGGATTGTTTTAGGCCATAAATGGCACGTTTCAATTTTACCACTTTATTTGACCCATCCGAATTAACAAAACCTTCAGGTTGGCTCATGAAAATGGTCTCCTCTAAATGACCGTGTAAAAAGACTGGGGTTACGTCAAGATGGAAGATGTCTAAATCTAATTTTACACGTAAAGCTATTAACAACCTTAGGGTAAAGTGCCTAACAACAGGCGAAAAGGTTTCATTATAATCTATCCCTTCTATTAGGGTAAAACCCTTAGCTACTAACCTAGTCCGGTAGGTTTTATTGTTAGCACTGTCAACCTTCAATTTCAATACCCATTTACACTGCGCTAAAGCACTACCTTCTGGCAAGTCTGCCAGTTCCCAAGTTTCATTGTCCTGGAGACTCTTCAACTCGTCTGCCATGGCCTCCCTCCACAGGCTGCCATCAAGTCGTGATAAAGCCTCTGTAACACCTACTGGATCATCATTTGGGTAGTTCTCAACAGCTGGACTTAAATAAGTCACATATTCATCAAATTTTTTGACCTTTTTTGTCTTTCCGACTTTCTAGGCACTACACTATCACTAAAAGACTTTTCTGATGTGTTAACTGGCACGTAGTCACTGTAACTTGGATTATCTGCTATTAAGGTATCATCGATGGAACTTGTGGTTAAATCTGAGTTGTCTTCTTGGATTAAGCTAACATCTGAGTTATCTTCCCCCACTGAAATTGGTAATTCTTCCTCGTTTTCAGCAACTATGATGTCAAAAGTCTTAGTATTTAGATCCTCATGGATATATACATCTCTGCTAGTTGTGACATTATCTGTTTTAGGATTATAAACTCGATAGTCTTTTATTTCTTCAGAATATCCTACCAAAATATGTTTATTAGATTTTTTGTCAAATTTCAGACGTTTTTCTTTTGGAACATGTACCATATTTGTACTACCAAAAATACGCAAGCCTGATATGTCAGGTTTTTTGTCGTACCACAGTTCAAACAGAGTTTTATCATTTAGGCCACTGGCGATACATCTATTTCTTAAATAGTTAGAATTATTAACTGCCTCACCCCAAAATCTCTTACCTAGTCCAGAATCGAACAAGAGGCATCTTGCCTTTTCTACAATGGTTCGGTTGAATCTTTCGGCAACACCATTCTGTTCGGGAGTATAAGTATTTGTTTTTTGATGAATTATACCTGCTTTCTTTAAATAGCTGTCAAATTCTTTGCTACAAAACTCGCCACCTTGGTCAGTTCTAAGAATCTTAATCTTATTACCTTTTTTGGGTCTCAACCATGGACTTGAACTCCTTAAATCGCTCAAAATCTTTACTTTTTGCCTTAGGAAATAAACAAATGACATTTTGCTAAAATCGTCAATGAGTAGAAGGAAATATTGGGATCCACCTATGGAGACGACTTCCATTGGTCCACAGACATCACCATGTATAATCTCCAATACATAATTGCTTCGCACACCTACATTAGAAAATGGTAATCTCGATTGTTTGCCTTCACAGCACACACTGCAATTATTTTTGTCAAAACGGGATTTTCCTCTTAATATCAAGCCATCAACACAATTTTTCATTTTATACAATGTTTGACTATTGATGTGTGCAATTTTCATGCAATTTTCTACTTTCAAGTTGAGTTTGTATACTCCATTGACTAAGTCTGCTGTAGCCAACAACTTATTTTCTTGGTTATAAATAAAACACCCATTACTAGTAAATGAAACATTGTTACCTTTTGAAATAAGTTGACTTACTGATAAAAGGTTTGTAGTGAGTTCTGGAATACACAAGACATCCTCCACAGTTATAGGATTTTCCACTGACTGAGATTATGATATCTAAATCTCCTAAACATTTCACTGAGAGTTTTTCTTTATTGGCGACGACAATTTCATGAATAACTGGCTGTGAACAATTTTTAATCCAACTTTTATTTAGCGTCATATGTTTACTTGCACCCGAATCTAAATAAAAGTATTTTTTGTTGTAATTGCCATTCAGAAACACAGCACTAAACGCGTATTTTTCATCGCACCTTGACGAATTATTGTTAGTTCCAGATCCGGAGGCACCACGAGGTCATTTCGACATAAAATGGCCTTGTTGTTTACATCTGAAACACGTTATTTCATTATTTCTGTGTTTTATTGTCAAAACTGTCAACGTCAATTGCCTTTGGGTAATCTTTTCTGACGTGAGCGCCACCTTTCGACTTTTTTATAAAGTTACTTTTCGTGATGAACGCACTTCCTTTGCTATTGCTACCGCCACCTGTTACGATATCGAGCAACTTGCTTTTGATGACATCTGTAGTGATGCAGATTCCTGCATGCTCGATCGCCATCAACATCGGAGTGGAAGCGTGCTGGGCCCATAACCCGTTAAATATGGGAGACTGTAGGTTTTAAAATAATAAATAATACCAAACACTTGTTCTTCGCCTACGACTATATTACGACTAATCATGGAGGATCTATTTCGTCCTATGAAACGTGACATTCAATAAGTAAGCAAGAGAGGGCGCTAGATGCATCATAAAAAGGAGGGTATTTCAAACTTTACAACAGTTTCAAACTCTTATACGTACAGTTACTAAAAACTTAAAAACACCTGACCCTGTAAAAATTCATTGATGGTTTAAAAGCTCTTATTTATTAAGAATTGTTTGAACCTTAAATAGATTTAGAGGCAGATTTCTTATTCTGTGGGAAAGTTTGTTGAAAAATGTTACATTCCAGGAGGTCGGCAATGGTAGAAATTGTATTTTTCACAAATTTCTGAATTTCTAATACTGCCTATTATTTCCTGGTCTCTCTCTCTCTCTGTTACAACTGGCTTACACAACTTTGACTTTTGACCCGAAGTTTAGACATTTGACATGATTTCGTTGATTGATATGCATAATAATTATTTTTCTTTTCAGTAAAAATCATTTGTCGAATGAGTTCGCCACACCGCCACCAAAGCCCCGTTCAAACACCATGCCGGCACAAGATCTTTCGAGAATATCGAAAATCTTCACTTCGGATTCTGACTATGAAGTGATGAGTCCCAGCAAATCTGCATCGGCGGAAAAACCTAAAAAATCTTTAGTCGAAAATTTTTACATGCCCATGTTGCCGCTCAAGTATTTGAAATTGAAGACTGAGACGAGTGTGACCGTCGATATCAAGAAGACTTGAATTTTTATGACAATTTACACGTTTTTACAAAGTAATTAATTTATTGCTTGCTTTTTTTGAAGCACAGTATCGTGACGAACCTCTTCATGTACAGCCAGTTGTTCCAAATCGGAGGTTTTTTGCTTGCAGCTATTTATTGATAGCGGATTGCAAGATTTTTGTATGTGATTAAGCACTGCTTTCGGAAAATTGTTGCACTCCACCCATTTGCGGAGTGTTTTTGAAATATATGTAAGTATTAAAACGGTTGTCACTCTAAATGAACATGAAAAAAAAAAAAAAAAAAAAAAAAAAATAAAACCAAATGCCTTTTTATGGCCGAAAAAATAAACAATGATCTTAAAAATTAAAAATAATTTTTTTGGCAACATTGTCAATAATAGACCCACTAGGCAGCTGTTGGTATTGAACTAAACTCGGTACAGTGACCTATTCAAATAAATAAATAGGAGAGACTGGGGCGCATTGGTACGTTTTAGATTTTTTGTGCTGGTATCTGATAATACATAAACAAAAAAAGTTTAATATTATGTTCATACACTCTTTGTTTTTTCTCCTAGATATTCCGCAAGTTTAAAATTTGCACATATTTCACAGAATCAAGAATACATTATTTAAAGGGTCTACTTTGGTACCAGTGTGCCCCATAGATGGAGCAGTGAAGATCATTAAGGGGCATATTGGAACATAACGAAACATTGTATGTTGTAACAAACTATATCATTAAAAAATTCAACTATATATGATAAAATATTTAGTAATCAAACTTGCGACGAAAAGTGGAAAAATGGCATTCAACTGGAAATTGTTTATTTGTCTCAAAGCAAAACCAAACAACACACATTATTTAAAAAACATTAAAAATAATTACATCTGGCAAACAAATCGTTGCACAAAATTTTTCTTTAAAAATTAAGGTGCTTTGAACATAGGGTCCTGAAGGAACTGTACTAGAGCGGCCTTTTGGAAAGAGTAGCAGCCCTTACTCAAGCCTCTTCTCTATTTAAATCAAAATTTACGTGACAGTTTAATTGTAATTTTTAAGAAACTGTTCACCTTTGATAATTCCTGGAGTAACATAATTGTTAGGTTTATTTCAATATGAACATGAAACAGATAATATGATAAAATCTGAAATTCGATGAAATTTTGAAAATATTTAAATGATGTTATATGAGCTTAAGTCTGCTTTCAAACGTTTAATAAAGCTACCCCTTCCAGTATCTTTAGAATTTTTTGATTTAGAAGCTCTATGTCTACTTGAAAAAATCTAGTGTCTTTGTCCCAAATACTGGGAAAAACATCCCCTGCCTTTTTTCTTCTTAAATTGACACGGGATTGTTCACCATTATCCCCAACCTGTCCGACATACTATTTTTTGTGCAATATTTAATGACCAGAAAGCATCATTAAAAAAATGTTACAGAAATAATCGTTGGTATTACGCTACCCTAGAACGACAGGGTTCTATGTGGCACAAGGTTAATTTCGATCAACAGCTGTTGAAAGTTTAAACCTTCTACACATTATGGTACAACAACCTCCTAAAAGTACAGTTTTCAAATAAAAAATATATATAACCTATAAATTCTTGTATTTATTTACCAAGACCCTGTATTAGGATGATTCTTCTAAAATTACAATTTAATTGTTACACATAGAACTTTATACAAATTATCTAGGGTAATAATAAAGAGAACAAGGTTCTATCTGAGCAGTTAGAACCTTGTTAGCAAATTATCACTTTAATTATTGTTTTAGATTTGAAAAAAATAGCTTACATGCGCAAAAATAATATTAAAATTGACTTATTATTATTGTTGTCGTTGTCATAATTGATGGTAGAAGAAATGAAATAAGTAATAAAGTGTTTTTGTAAATTGAAGTCATAATAAGCATATTAATCTTTTTTATCTATAAAATATGGAAAAAGGTTTTGGTACAGTGGTATTCGAATCCAAACGTTATGCGAATTTTGACTGTAAAATTTAAACCAAATATTTGGGAATTAAAAAAAAATATCTTAACATGAACACAAAACATAAGCTTTAATATTTACTTAAAGGTAAACAAAGAATATTCTGAAAAAACAACATTAAAAAAAAATATTTGTTTGACGAAAATTTTTAATAACCCTTTTATTATTGTTTTGTTTTTTTATTCGGTAAATTTTTGCCTTTCTGCTTTTGGCTGTTACCCTTTCCAGTCTTTAGAGTTATTAACTTTTTTTTCTTTTAATTTTTTGCCTTTTTTGTTGTCTCTGCAATAGAGGTTTCTTTTCCTGAGCTAGTACTTTCTTTTTGTTTTGAAATTGCTTCCATGATATTACGAAATTCTTCTTCATCTAAAAAAATATTCCAGGTAACTAAGCAACTGTTACATTGATTACGTGCAAAAAACTAGCAAACTAATTACGTATGTAGTTATTTTAGGCATACTATGTTTACACTACAGAACTAGCTAAACTAACTTTTCCCTAAAACAGTATTCTTTTAACCGACCCTCCAACTTTAATTATAACGAAAACTCTTGTAGTGTAAGCTTAAAAACGGGACACGTAATACATTGTTCTTTAAGTTTGATCAAAATTGTAACTTACTTATGTCCAGACATACTTTGTAGTACTCAATATCCTGTTGGGACATATAAATAAACATTGATATCAAATGATCCTTCTTCTCTGCTTTTATACCAGTTTCCCCTTTCCGAGGTTGAATTGTACGGCAAACTAAATCATTCTGGCTTAATTTATTGAGATCATTACTTGGGACTTCTGGTCTTCTAGATAATTTTTTTTCGGCTGGTGCTATTGATACTTCTTTGAATTCAGTGCTAAAACCAAGGCTAAATTCTACATGAAACCTTGACTGAGTAAAACGTAGAATTTGAACTTTGGAAAAAGGGATGTTTTTATATTCCAATTTTTTGCTGAGGTCGTGATAGTTCTTATAATCTGCTTGTCTCATTTGCATTATAATAAATGGTTTTTTTCGATTAACACTTTTGAGTAATCTAATCAAAGCAATTGGTGAAAAAAATTCATTTATCTTTAAATGTCTTTCGATGGCGCTATGTGCGTTATCCACTTCTTGACATGCTGAGTGACCAGCTATAGAAAACTTCATAGTTATGGATTCAATATGGGGGTGTCGTTGCATAAAATCTGATATGGCAAAGGACATAACTGAATTTCTATTTTGTGGGACGCAGGAGTCGCTCCATGTAATAAGGTTGGTGATGTCATTTTCTTCAAAAACCCTTTCTAATATTCGTATTAGTGCGGAAGCTATATCATTTCCTGTACGGCCAGCGGTTTTTTCGGTCCATATTGCACAATACATGGTTTTGGTTGTCGTCAAATATGCTGTAAGATTGTATATATTTAACTTGCATTTGTAAAACAAAGGTCCAATTTCAGTTCTGGGGCACGTGATCACGTTTTCCATGTCAAAAATAAGAACTGGAGTGCCTGAGTCTTTGTCAGCCTTTTTTTGTTCCCTCATATTCTTCTTTTCATTAAGATGTTTCTTGTATTCTTCTGTAATTTCTTTATCCGGTTCTTCTTTCTTTATATTTTTATATATTTCGCAGTATCCACATCTGTCACTTTTCGGTATGTGAAAATCAATATTAAAATTTGTACAGAAAACATAGCGGTAAAATGACGCTTTCACTGGATCCCTTGACTCTTCTTCACACTTAATCACATAAAGATCATACATTTTGGTTATATTTAGGTTTGCATCTATGTACCTTTTAGCAGTTCTGTATCTACAGTAATGAGACTCAATAGAGGGAAAGCTGTTAATGTGATCTTTTACTGTATTTATTTGTTCTTCTGAGATACGATTGTGATTACCCCCTTTCCCTCTCTTGTCTCTCTGTGGTACACCAGTAACTTTATCCTTTTTTAGGTGTACATTGTAGATAGGTTTTTGAGATATATTTAAAGAAGTGAGATAAAAAGTTTTGCATACTTCGATCTGTTGATTATTTATAAAAAACATATATTTAAAAGTGTAAGTTCGGCGTGAGCTATTATCTTTGGTTGTACTGCGATTCTTTAATAATCTTTTTGTTGTTCTGGCAATAAAATCGTATTTACCGTTTTGATCTAGACCATAAAAACTTTTAAAAGTTTCATGTCTTTCCTTTTCAGAAATATATCTGGCACATTTAAACTTACAAGTAGTTTTACAGTCTTTAATTGTTTTTACTTCCTTTTTTGGTACATTTTTTTTTCTTTTGCTAATGTATTCCTCACCGGCTTGATACCTTGCCTTTGCAATATTTTGTTTCCATTTATAACCAGATTGTTTTTTTTTTCTAGTCTTCTTAATATTGTTAACCGCTTCGTTTTCTCGAGCCTCCTGAGAATCCAAGTCCACTTGAGCAGTATTTAGAATAATTTGAAAGTTGTTTAAATTGTCCGACAGTGTATTTTTATTTTCCGCAGTGATCGCGCTATCATTTCTTTCTTCAATTTCCGATTCTTCTAAATTATCATGATCTGATTGGCTATGTGAATTCTCAGCTAACACTTCGATAGGCACGTCTTCTTCAGAAGTAACAATATTATTTAATTTTTCAAATATGTGTACATTTTCATCTAAATATTGAATGTCAACGTCATTAATTTCCATAATTTGAACATTATTATTAGCGAGAGGAATTATATCACCTACTTGGAGGTTTTTTTTGCTTAGGTCATCAATGACACTTAATCTGTTAGTAATATTGGTTGGCGTTTCTTCTTTCCAAAAATCATCACCCTTAAAGATATCTTTAATATCTTGATCACTTAGTGTATCAGGTTTTTGGGCCATATTTAAAGCTGAACTGTAAAAAAAAATAAAATTCACTTACTTTATAAAAAAATAAAGAAGTGTTGTAAAAGTAATTAAAAATCCGACCAATTTTTTAATCTCAACGCCTTATATTTATTCCAATCATATTAATATAATTTCAAAAAAAAAATAGATCACAATTAAAACTCGTAAGTATATTAAATATGACCGAAAGTAAAAAAAAGAGCACACACACAAGGGCACACTGTACAAGAACAAAATTTTTAATTCTTTACTACTAAAATACCATGTACTTTGTGGCCAGCCCCACTATAGCGGATTTATTTATACAGATCTTAATTTTTTTTTAATATATTTAATATTTTACCATATCGAAATTCGCAATTAATTTAAATTATCAGGTAAAACATATCACATTGTTAATATAATAATAATAACAACAATATTAATAATCATAATG